CCAGTGTTTTTTATGGCACCTGGGACTTGGAAACACTCAAATAATATTGGCTGGGTGAATGAATGAATAATACTTTTGATAACCCAGGGCTTCCTCATCTTTGTGCCTAGGAAGACACAAAACTTACCAAAGTGTACGTTTGTAAACTATAAAGCACCATAGAAAGGTAATTATTACATTACTTCTCTCTTTTCCTCTTGGCTGAAGGAAGACCAGGGCCCATGGAGTGCCTCTCTGTGTAAGCGCGCACTTCTGCGGAACACTCCCCTACTGTGTCTGTCTTTATCCCACTGGGTCAGGTTTGGTTCCTTTAACTCAGTTGTAGACTGTTTCAGGAATCCTTCTCTAGAGTGTTTTGCTATATTTTCATCCAATTCTTCTTCTCCTTTTTTTTTTTTTTTTCTTTTTGAGAGGTTTTTACTATAGGGTGCGTGTGCTTGCCAGAAAGACAGAGAGAGACAGAGAGACAGAAAGTGAGAAATCGCCCCCGAAGGGGGATGGTCATGCCGCAATCCCTTCTCCTCCATTCTCCTCTCAGGATCTTGGGCATGCACGCACACGAGCCCAGTGTGATTTTGAGCCACTGGGTCTGGGACTTGAACTGTAGTCGACTACATGGGAGTCCAGCAATGTAACCATTATACTATCTGCTGTTCCCCTCAATTCTTCTTTTTTAAGTTTCTTGAGAGAGCAAGCATCCTTAACAGGGTCCTGATGTTGCAGTCCACCCTGAGCCTTCAGCCAGCCATGGATCACAGACAAGCTTGTGCCTAGTACCCCACTATACTCAAAGCAGTTGTTGGACTTGAACACTTGAAAGGGAAACTTCCCAAGTGGAATATGCCTTGCAGAGCATTGCATTTTACCACTGTGCCACTGTCAGTCCCTCATCTCAATTCTGGATTACTCTTTTGCTTCTGACTTTGTTGTGTGTGTGTGTGTATTGGTGAGGGAAGGCTATAATTCTTGGGACCCCCATTAGGTTCCACTTAAAAGACAGATCTCAAGCTTAGCATCATGTGGGACAGGATTGTGTTCAATAAGTTATAAGCAGTTCCATTAATCAGGCTATTAGAGTCCCCCTGTGGCCTCATGGCCTGCCTGCACATGGAGCATTATTTAAAGATAAGAAAATGTGGAGGAGACTGGCCTTGTGACCCATGGATCGCAAATTCCATTCTAAGCTTCCCTACTAAATAGTGCTGGGATTTAGTCAAGTCTTTGATCCTGAGTTTCTCTACCTTTAAACCAGAACTAAGCTCACTTGCTTTGCATTACTTATGAAGTGAATTAAAGGGTGACTTCCTCAATGAAGACGTGGGATGAAAATGGAATGGAAATAAAAATGGATTTCTCAGAAACTGCAGCCATGTCACTATTACAGAGATTGAACTCTTAACACTCAGTATAGCTGAAAATACACAACTCTCTATCCCTGGAGAGATGTCTGACACAGCTGATACAATCTTTTTTTTTTCTTTAGGTTTTTGCCATAGGGCACTCCCTGGAGAGAGACAGAGAAAGACAGAAAGAGGGAAAGTGAGGAATACCCTAGGGGGAAGGCCACGCCATAACCCCTTCTCTTGGGATTTTTGGGCATGCACATACCTGGCATGATTTTTAGGCTGCCAGATCTGAGATTCCAACAGTGGTCAGCCAGGTCCAGTGCATGCCACCTGCTGGCCCCCACCAGATCCAACCTTGAATGCCTATGTGTCTGAGAGGTATGTGCTTAAATGGATGAATGCATGAGTCCTTATGTATTCTTCTACATTTCTGTAATAAGATACTACAATTGTTAGAGCAGAATTTTTATATGGACTCGAACATTTTATTCTCCTTTTCTAGGTCATCTGGCCTAGGCATTCCACAAATCCTTTTTCCTTTTGCTAGAAAAAGAAAAGAGAAACTAAGATTCGTTGCATCTTCTTCCTTCTAAACTCAGGACTAGCCCATTTCCATTTCCTTCTTTGTGTAGTTTTCAGCTTTGTCACTGTCGAGTCTTTCATTCTCAAGTCTCTCGAATTAAGTTTTGTCTCAGAAATCATCTTCACCAAGAGTAAGCCCTGATGAGCTGTTTATTGAGGGGTTGTATCCCCTCCCTTTCCCCACCTCCCTAAATCTGGAAACATATTTCCTTTCCTGTGCTTCCTTGCTTGCTTGCTTGTTTTCTTTCTTCCCTTTTTTTTTTTCTTCTTTCTTTCTTTTGAGAGAGATTTTTGCTATAGAGCATGTGCACTCACCAGAAAGACAGAGCGACAGAAAGTGAAAAATCACTTTCCAGGGGGGATGGCCGTGCCGTTATCCCCTCCTCCTTTCTCCTCTCGGGATCTTGGACATATACACACACACACGTGTACCCACCATGGGTTTAAGCCACCAGGTTCAGGACTTGAACTGGGTCGGCTATGTGGGAGTCCAGTGGCGTAACCATTATACCATCTGCTGGTCCCTTCTGTGCTTTCTAAACCCTGGCTTCTTTACAGTAGCATCTCAGTGTCTGGCATGAAATAAATACCCACTGAGTAACTTATCAATATGTTAAATAAATCAATGAGGGGGCTGAATGGCCCTACAGTAGGTAGCACAATCTACAAGTCAATATGTTCAATATTTGAGCAAGGAATATGTTTAATGTCTGATGAATCGATCAGAGCATATATGAATAAGTGAATCAAAATTTGACTAGCCTTTCAAGGGCCATTTAAAGTTTAACCTTTTTTTCAGCTTCCTGACAACTCCAGCCAACCACTCTACTTCCCTTCTTAATCACCCTTGTGCATGTTGTTATAGGTCATCACAGTACTAATTATTCTGTGATGTATTGCACATGAGTATTTGCATGTCTGTGTGCCTTAGTTCCCCTTGATTGTAAGCTCCATCCAGGGGCCAGGTCAGATTTGTAGGGTTTGAAGCATATACAATTTTGGGGACAAAAAGTATACTGCATCTATAATTGTGTACTACATTATCAAGTATTTTCCTAACAGGAGTCAACTTTGCTTTTGCTTGGGTATTGACAAGAATGAAATCCTCTTGCTATAATGGTATACACTTGAGGATTGACTGAAAGAATTTTCCACAGGGACCAACAGTTAGCATAATGGCTATGTCGCTGGACTCCCACGTAGTGGACTCCGGTTTCAGTCCTGGACCTGGTGGCTTAAACTCATGCTGAGTGCGTGTGCGTGCGTGCCCAAGATCTAAAGAGGAAAATGGAAGAGAAGGGATTGCGGCATGGCCAGTCCCCTGGGGGGTGATTTCTCACTTTCTGTCTCTCTTTCTGGTGAGCACACGTGCCCTATAGCAAAAACCTCTCCAAAACAACAACAACAACAAAAAAGAATTTTCCACAGACTAGCTTCTGGCTCCGTCCTCTTTTAACTTTAGCTCTTCTCTACCACATACTTCCAGTTCAAAGCCAGATGACACTTTCATGTCATGAATTAAGACCTGCTCCTGGGCGTTCATATCTACTGGTCTTTAAATTTTGTCTCATACCCATCAGACTCGGTAAGTGTCTGGTGTCTCCTCTTGATAAGTGTTTCTCTCTGGCTCTCCTTTTCACAGTTAATCACTAGTAGGGTAGTCCGGTTGGCAGTCCCAGAATTTACATTTTCAGGAAGTTTAAAACAGAATAAAATCTGCTTTTAAATTCTCTTTCGACCCATACAAAGACCATATTGATTAAGCCTTAGGACATAAAGTAAGATATATCTTCCTCTTGAGAACAAGATCATGAGTAATTAAACATGGCATTCATAGCTTTTGTTTCTAGGCCCTTTGAGAGTATTGTAATTAGTCTTTTCATTGTTGAACTTGAGGATGATGTAGTAGCAGAAGTCTAGTTCTCCAAAACGAATGAATATAAATCACTGATAGCAGACGGGCAGGTCTGGAAGATGGAGTGCTGGAAAGAACTTCTTGGTGGTGGATAAAACCCGGGGTTACATCATCTTGGTGAAGACTTTTGATGCAGGTCAGACAGACCCAAGTCCTGCCTCTTACTACTTGCATGATTTTAGACAAGTCATTTTGGCTTTCTGAGACTCAGTTCCTTACTGGTGAAATGAGGAGAATAACACCATGGGGTTGCAAGGATTCATGTGCATGAGGCTCTTAGCACAGAGACAGCTACAAAGGATTTCAGAAATGCTAGGTGTCACATCTTTACTTAGAACACTTTTCTCTTTTTCTAGGAAAATCTAGATATTTATATACCTGATATGTTTGGCTTATTAACCTTTTCCTAGAACTCAGCCTTACTTTAGCTGTTTCCTAAAGACAACTCTTTTTTTTTTTTTTTGGAGAGGTTTTTTTTGCTATAGGGTGCGTGTGCTCGCCAGATAGACAGAGAGAGACAGAGAGACAGAAAGCAAGAAATCCCCCCCCCAGCGGGGATGGTCACGCCGCAATCCCTTCTCCTCCAGTCTCCTCTTGGGATCTTGGGCACGCACGCACACGTGCCCGGCGTGAGTTTTAAGCCACCGGGTCCGGGATGCGAACCGCGGTCGACTATGTGGGAGTCCAGTGACATAGCCATTACACTAACTTCTGGTTCCCAAGACAACTCTTTTTGACATCCGGGGCCAGAGAGTAGTAATTTTTTGTTTGTAGTGCCTAAAAGGTGTTTTGCACAAAAAACTCCCTTTCATTCATTTAGCGGTCTACTATTTACAAAGTTTTCAAAACAGTCCTCCCATGGCAGTGTGACCTCGTGCTTCCTGGGCTCTGCCTTCTGTCCTCCCTCCCTAAGCTCTAACCCACCAAATGGCTTCTCTACTGGTGGCTTCAGCCTTGTTGCAAGGCTGCTCCTTATGGACACATGGTTCCCTTAGCTTGTCCTTCAGGTCCCCTCATTGGGGCTACTTAAGGGATGCTCAGGCTCATCTCCTCAGCTGTTCTCTATCACAGCACCCTCTTTCACGATTTCACAGCACTTTTCACTCTCTGAGAGTTTTCTTGTTCATTTATTTATTATCCACGTCTTAGAATATAAGCTCTGTGAGGATAGAAGTGCTGTCCACATTCCCTCTTTAGGTACCCATCTTCAACGGGGGAAATAGCACCTGCAAAAGGGCAAAAATTAGTTCTTGAGGGGGCAAAAAACATCGTACTCTTTTTACGTATAAAGCACAGACACAGTACTTATTAAACAGACATCCAGTATATACCTGAGCTGAAAATGAGGGGGAGGTGGGCATAATTAGCACAAATGTGTTTTAAAAATCTCCCTGAGGAGGTCATAATGAAAAAAAAAAAAGGTTAAGAATAGTGTCTTACAGTATAGGACAGCACTAAACACGTGGTAGGCTCATAAATCACATCTTTTTAAGGACTAAAGCATACCCTCTAATAGCTGCAGGAAGTGGAGTTCAGAGAGGTGAAGTAGCTAGCCTCAGGACAAAAGGTTAATAAATGGTAAAACGGAATCTTGAAACTCAGAATCCTAGGTCTTACGCTTTTCATTCTAAGTCACTCTCCGTTCATGCTTAATACACTCTTTTTGAATTGATTTGAACATATTAGACATTCCTACAAGATGAAGCAAAGAAAACTTACATTTTGTAAGTGACTCGACAATTTCAGGAAGTCATTCTGCTCAGAAGAGCCCAGCTAATCTTCCTCCTTGGGAAACATTAGTGGTAGGTTATACGTGGCTCACCTTAAACATAGGTTTCACGTCCATCTCCTACTCTCAGTAAAATAAAGGTGAAAGGTGAGCTTAGTTTTAATTACTAGTGTCTTAGTAATTGTCTCACTGTATCTGAGGCCCCAAAGAAGCAATTAACTATCGATTTATTAAGTAGTCAGGTTCAAATAGCTTAATAGGTCTTAATGCCCAAACAATTTAGTGGTTGTTAGTTGTTGCACGCCTTTATAAGCCTTAGAATTTTATTAGATCCTACGCCCTCATTTCTTCTTCCATACTGATTTCCTAAGCGTATTTGCTTCTCATCACAGACATTGCTGAAAAGCCAGCTTTGAAGAGATTTAATGTTACTGAAAGAAATATAATAATCTAATGTGAAAATGTGAACCACTTCAAGTTAGTAGTTTGCACAAATGTTACTGTGATTCTCTGAAAATTTAAAAATATCCTGACATCCTTGTGAGTTCACTGTGCACCCCTGGGTGTTCAGCACACAGTTCAGGAACTGTGGAAGTGGATCAAGGCAAGATAATGGTGCTGGCTTGAGGTAGGGCAGTTGGCAGGGGAGTTGGAAAGAAGTAGGAAAATTCAAAAAATATTTAGAAGTGAAAAACTAGAGGCAGGGAGAGCTGGTCTAAAAATGTTGAGTGAACAGGATGTGGAGATGGAGGAGAGAGTTTTAGAAGACGTAGTTTGGTACCTAGATGACTGGAGAACTCCCATGGAGTAGATAGCTCATGGTGTCTCTATCCAACCCACCTCCACTGGCTTGAGAATGGCAACCGTTCTCTACGTAGGAATGCGTCCTCACAGCCGTATTCATCTCATGTGCCTGTCTCTCTGGCAGAAGATAATTGGACCAGGGGATGTGTTGTGCTTAAGTCGGCTTAAGCCAATCAGATTCTCTCCTAATAAGCTGAAATTCAAACTTGTATTCATTTTCTATGGCTGCTGTAAAAAAATGACCCAAAATTGGTTGGCTTTAAAAAATGGAACTTTATTCTTTCACTGTTCTAGAGGCCAGAAGTTCACAACTGAGGTGTCAGCAGGGCCGCAGTCCCTCTGGAGGCTCCAGGGAAGACTCCTTCCTTGCCTCTACCAGCTTCTGGTGGAAGTTGGTTTTCTTGGGCTTCCTTGGCTGCATCAGGCCAATCTCTGCCCCATCATCCCATTGCTGCTTCCTCTTTACGTGCCGGTGTCTTCTTATATGAGAAAACCTTTATATATATATATGTATGTATACACACACATATATACTCTTTTTGAATTGATTTGAACATACTAGACATTCCTATCTATCTATCTATGATACCATATATATATATATATGGTACCATTCACAAAGCCTATGTCTTAGGACATGGGCCTGTTTTGTTGGGGCTACCAATTAATTCATTATACTCAGAGATATAGAGATGCATATGAGATATTTGCTATGTGGGGGCCTGGGAAGACTGTTTCATCCTATTTGGGTAGAGAATTAGGAAAATAAAGGTTTATGGTGAAGGATCTAGATGTACAGAGAGAAGCAGAAATGAAGGGACACTTGAGCCCGAAGATAGGCAGAGAGATGAGTGCTGCTGTGGTTCTGTTTAACGTTCCAGCTCTCAAGTCCAGTCTTTCAGGAATCCCAGCGGCTTCAGGTCCCATAATTAGTTGAATTATTTGGCAAATTCTCCCATTTTCTAGTTTGAGTGAGTTTCTCCAATGAAAAACTAAGACCCTTGACTAAGATAAAATAGAGCAGTTGAAAGAGTAGGTACGTTAGTATCAATTTTGGCAAACCTTCCATCTCCTTAAGACTTCCCACACAAGCACTGACATGAAACTCTGGCAGTGGCTCCTTACAAAATGAGAATAATTATTGTGGCTCCTCACAAAATGAGATAATTATTGGGTTCTTGGAAAAGTCATGATGCATTTTTGCATAGAATACATCATGACTTTTCCAACAACCCAATAGTAAAAAAAAAAAAAAAGTTTAAACATAAAGCAGGAAGAAATGGTTTATTTCCTTTACTCTCTCAGAAAGTGAGGGTTTTTTTTTGTTTTTTTTTTGTTTTTTTTTCACTAGTCACATTATACACAACACTTGGAGGACTTGATTATGAAGAAGGAGAGCACTGGCCAGCTGGAGTCTGTGCATGAACATGACTAGGACAGAAGGGACTAGGAACCACATTGTATGAGAAAGTGTTAGCAAGGCCCAGGAAATTTGCCTAAGAAATTAAGCACTTGAAGGGGCCGAAATACCAACAGCTGGTTTTTAAACTTGAAAGACTAGCATGTAAGAGAGGAATTAGACATATTATTGGGAGTCACATTCTGGGTTCATCCAGGAAGAAGTTTTTAAAAGTTTTAGCTGTTCGAAACTTCATGCCTGAGCTGAAGTTTGAACAGCATCCTAAGAAACGACTGGGAGCCTCTCAAGGGCAGGGACTGTGTCTTGTTCCCTTTGTATATACTCAGTACCCAACATCGGGTCTAGGGCCTAGCAGACTCTTCAGTCGAAGCTTGACAACTGGAAGACTGAATGGAAGATGTTTAAACAGAGGCTGAGTGACTAGGGCGATGTTGAAGAGATGGAAGACTAGATTGAAGGATGATCACAATATTAATAATAATGAGAGTTTTAATTTATTAAGCTTTTGGTTTATGTTACCATTTTATTTCATCTTCAGTAAACCAATTGAGTAGGTGCCCCTAACTTATGAGGTTAAGAAATACACTACACAGGTAGGAAATGACAGAACTCGAGTCACCCTCTAGCATAATATTAAGGAAAATCATTGCTCACATATTTAGCAACTACTGTGCCCTTAGAGTTTTATACACATTGATGACTGGGGAGGGGGGCCTTCCTTTTTTCTAGGTTCATGTCCAATGCCCTCCTGTGTTCGAGGTAACTGGCCTGCTTAACCACTGAAGTTTAAAGAAGGTCAGTCTGTAGTCCTCACTGCCGACTGGTTCAATGATCTACTCATACCTTAGAACAAGGCCATCATCAGTCTTTGCTACCCAATCCAAGTATGAGGTTTCTCAGGAGTCGAGCAGCTCTGATTAAGAATGGAGGTTTCATCCTTTCAGTTAGCCTCTTTATTTTAGGAGAAATGGAAGTGAACTAAAATGACTCCCAAATTGGATCGACTTTTTAATACTATAATTATCTTGTTTATGTATTTATTATCTTTCATACCAGAAGTAGAGTTCTAAGAAATTAGACTGTGTCTTGACAACTGCTATCTTTCAGTGCCTATAAACCTGCCTTGGCAACCAGCAGTTAGCGTAATGGCTATGTCGCTGGACTCCCACATAGTCGACCCCCATTTTAGTGATATGAATATTTAATCAATTGTTTTTTTTTCTTTTTTTTTGGAGAGGTTTTTGCTATAGGGCACGTGCGCTCGCCAGACAGAGAGATAGAGACAGAGAGACAGAAAGCGAGAAATCACCCTACAGGGGGGATGGCCATGCCACAATCCCTTCTCTCCCATTCTCCTCTCGGGATCTTGGGCACGCACGCACACGCGCCTGGTGTGAGTTTAAGCCACCGGGTCCAGGACGTGAACTGCGGTCGACTATATGGGAGTCCAGCGACATAGCCATTACACTAACTGCTGGTCCCTAATAAATTGGTATTTATTAAATAAAGGAAGGGCTGGAGGAAGGAAAGAAAAGTTAGTTTCTGGGAAACATCTTAAGGCATGTTTGATAAATATGAATGATATCGATGTGGGCACCTGTACTGAGGCCTGTGCCAGGCCTCTCCTGACCACTCCTCTTCGTGGTGTGGAGACGTCCAGAACTCACAAAAACCCAGGGCCAGCTGTTTAATTACTGACACTTCCCAGGCCTCTGCTAAGCCTCAGTCTCTCCTCTTTGAAATGATAAAAGCAACTTGAGGCCTTGAGAAGCCAGATTCCGCTTATCTAACCCTTCTCTAAAGTAAACTGAGCTTCTTCTTGATAGGGTACCCTTAGCCTGCTAGAACTCCCCCTTCCCCCAAACTTCCCCGTGCTTAACTTCTGCCGGGGGCCAGAGATCAGAGTGTTAACTCCTCCTCACAGTCATAAAACAAAGAGTTGTTCTTATTTCTCTGGAGTGCTGTCTTTCATCCCTGGCAGTCTGTTTTCCAGCAACAATATCTGGGGAAGAGTTGCGCTGGATTTGTAATCTCTAAGGAGGATGGGGTTAATGTGTATGGAAATTACTCTCTTGGACTGTCTTGGGCACCCAGCAATCTGGGATCTGTTTGCAGCTTCTTTGAGAATATACAATTATGCATCATCTTACCGGTTCAATGGACATAAACTTTTGCATATAACTTAAGGTTGTTCATGGACCTCCTGAAGAAGTCAAAGGACCCCAAGTTAAAAATTCCTGTAGAAATGGGGATCCCTACAGCAACAACTGGGAGCCTGGCTCAGTGAGATAATGCAGGAAGCACCTTTAAAGAAACAGGACAGATTCCCGTTGAGGGGAGAAAGTGTGCCCAAAGAATCCCTGGAAACCAAATTGTATTTGAAGTGGCGCTGCGGGCGGTTGCTATGGACGCTTGCCTCTCCAATCAGCGCGCGGCTTGCTGGACTGTACGGCGCTCATGGTTGCTGTGGCAACTGAGGGCAACAGCTTGGCGGCTCCCGCTGGCGCTGCGAGCAGGATAGGGAGTCCTCCGGCTGCGGCGTCTGTGAGTTGGACGCGGGGTCGTGGCTGGGGAGGGGATGCAGAACTGACCCGGGATCCGGGGTGCACGGGGGCGTCCCCTCTGCTCGTTCCCTCTGCTTCCCAGGAGCTCCCCAGACTTTTCAGGCCCCCCCCCGACCCCCCCTCCCACCGCAGCCTCCTCTGAGGAGAGGTCCTCACCCGGTTCAAGTGACTGGACCTTGGGTTTCCGTTCTGGGCTTTTCCTAGCCAGAGGCGGCCGCAAGGATAGACCTGGGTGTTACTTTGATTCTAACTTCCAATTAGCCCCGAGGTCTTGGCAGAGTCTGGCTCCTCACCAGGAAAAGGAGCTGCTACGGCCCCACTCCTCCTTCAGCCCCTCCCCTACTTCGTTCTCCCGGCGATCGTGAGGATCTGGTGTTTGACCCGCGCCTCCTCCTATGGTCGCATTTCCTAGCCTCGATGATCCGGTGAAGTGACTGGAATATTAACCCACCGTTACCGTTGAGCACTCTGGGCTTCAGGGCTGGCGAGGGTCCTAGTCCGACTTAGCCCCCGTTGGCTGCACAGCGTCCCGCCCTCCATGGGTGCCCATCTTTGTATCTTGCCCGTTTCCCTCTTTACTGGGTATTTTCGGACTACTTCAACTACTTATGTTTATCATGGTGATCCTTTCCATCCTCCTTTTCTTTACTCTTTTTTTTTTCCTCTAGAGAATTATTCCTTTAATTTGTTATTGTTATTATTTAAGTTGCTATAGGACACATGAGCTCACTAGATGCGCGGTGCGCGCCAGATAGAGAAAGCAGCCAGGTCCGAGACCTGAACTGCTGCAATAGACCACGTGGGAGTCCAACACCTTACTCGCCACACCACCTGCTGGTCCCTCCTTTTCTTTACTCTTTAAAGCACTTGAGGTCCTACTTGATGTCTTGTATTAGCCTAGGTGTTTTGCAAGGGAGTGGTGTTTTGTTTACCTTGCAAAACATGACAAAACTGGAAGGATTTGTGACTTTTCTTTTCTTTTTTTTTTTTTTTTTTTAGGTTTTGGCCATAGGGCATACAGTAGTTTCTTGGAGGGGGCCGGTTTGGAGACACAGGCTTACCTCACTGGGTTCAGGACTGAAACCACGCAGTTCGTCATATGGGATCCAACTGCCTAACTACCATGCCACCTGCTGGTCCCAGCACCTTTGCCTTTAATGAGCCGATTAAGTGGAGCCATCTTTTACTCTGTGCTAGGTTTAGAAATCAAGGTCTAATTTAGGTCAAAAGTGAATGCAATCAAACAGCCTTAACAAGTTCCTTAAGGGCCAGCCTGGTGGTGGTGGTGAAGGAGGTTGGATTCCACATGGCGGAATTCACATTTGAGTCCTGGACTTTGTGGCTTGTGAAACACACTGGACAACAGCATGCCTGAATCTGGAGAGGAGAATGGAGAGGGATCTGAAGAATGGACATCCCCTGTGGGGAGTGCTTTCTCACTTCTGTCTCTCTTTCTCAGTCTCTTATCTCTGGAGAGCCCACAGGCCCTATAGCAAAATTTAAAAATTATTTAGGAGCAGCCCAATTCAGAAACCTAACCACTGGAAAGTTTTGGTTCTGGAAATAGATAAGTGAATTTATAAAATTCTTATTTATAGACTTTTCCAATTAGTTGTCATGAATTAGTGAAAGGGAAAATTCATCAGTTCTGTCTTTATCCTAAATTTTATTGTGGCTTTCATTTCATACTTGAGTTTCTTTCTTGAACGTGTCAAGGAGTCTGTCACCATTTGTGTGGCTTCCCAGGGCATCGCTCTTTGCTTGGTGGGTAGGTGAATTCTCAGATTCATTCATGCATACCTCTCGCGATCTCTCCAGTATACACATGGTTCCAGCGCTGATGAAACTAGTGTGTTCTGGACCCCCTCACTTCATTATACAGCACAGGCTCACTGACTAGAATGGCAAAGACAATCATCCAACTATTTAAAAGGTGGTTTTTCTGTCTTTATTTAGCTAAGTATGAATAACATTGAAATTCCATCACCTCCACTGATGCAACTCTTTTGGGGTCTTATTGTAGAAGTTGTACTTGCGCTGCAAACTCATCAGCGTGTCATATTATTAGTCTTTTAAAATTTTGTCTTCCTGATGAGAAAATAATGGTTATCATTTACTTATTTATATTTCCTTGATTACAAGTCAGGTTGAGTAGTTAATGATTACTGACTATTGATAATTGCTCTTCTGTGAATTGCCTGTTAGACCTTATAAGAAGTTAAATTTTTTTTTAATGTAAGTGGGTATAATTTTGTTCTATATTACATTTAGAGATATGAAAGAATATTAACCCACCGTTACCGTTGAGCACTCTGGGCTTCAGGGCTGGCGAGGGTCCTAGTCCGACTTAGCCCCCGTTGGCTGCACAGCGTCCCGCCCTCCATGGGTGCCCATCTTTGTATCTTGCCCGTTTCCCTCTTTACTGGGTATTTTCGGACTACTTCAACTACTTATGTTTATCATGGTGATCCTTTCCATCCTCCTTTTCTTTACTCTTTTTTTTTTCCTCTAGAGAATTATTCCTTTAATTTGTTATTGTTATTATTTAAGTTGCTATAGGACACATGAGCTCACTAGATGCGCGGTGCGCGCCAGATAGAGAAAGCAGCCAGGTCCGAGACCTGAACTGCTGCAATAGACCACGTGGGAGTCCAACACCTTACTCGCCACACCACCTGCTGGTCCCTCCTTTTCTTTACTCTTTAAAGCACTTGAGGTCCTACTTGATGTCTTGTATTAGCCTAGGTGTTTTGCAAGGGAGTGGTGTTTTGTTTACCTTGCAAAACATGACAAAACTGGAAGGATTTGTGACTTTTTTCTTTTTTCTTTTTTTTCTTTTTTTTAGGTTTTGGCCATAGGGCATACAGTAGTTTCTTGGAGGGGGCCGGTTTGGAGACACAGGCTTACCTCACTGGGTTCAGGACTGAAACCACGCAGTTCGTCATATGGGATCCAACTGCCTAACTACCATGCCACCTGCTGGTCCCAGCACCTTTGCCTTTAATGAGCCGATTAAGTGGAGCCATCTTTTACTCTGTGCTAGGTTTAGAAATCAAGGTCTAATTTAGGTCAAAAGTGAATGCAATCAAACAGCCTTAACAAGTTCCTTAAGGGCCAGCCTGGTGGTGGTGGTGAAGGAGGTTGGATTCCACATGGCGGAATTCACATTTGAGTCCTGGACTTTGTGGCTTGTGAAACACACTGGACAACAGCATGCCTGAATCTGGAGAGGAGAATGGAGAGGGATCTGAAGAATGGACATCCCCTGTGGGGAGTGCTTTCTCACTTCTGTCTCTCTTTCTCAGTCTCTTATCTCTGGAGAGCCCACAGGCCCTATAGCAAAATTTAAAAATTATTTAGGAGCAGCCCAATTCAGAAACCTAACCACTGGAAAGTTTTGGTTCTGGAAATAGATAAGTGAATTTATAAAATTCTTATTTATAGACTTTTCCAATTAGTTGTCATGAATTAGTGAAAGGGAAAATTCATCAGTTCTGTCTTTATCCTAAATTTTATTGTGGCTTTCATTTCATACTTGAGTTTCTTTCTTGAACGTGTCAAGGAGTCTGTCACCATTTGTGTGGCTTCCCAGGGCATTGCTCTTTGCTTGGTGGGTAGGTGAATTCTCAGATTCATTCATGCATACCTCTCGCGATCTCTCCAGTATACACATGGTTCCAGCGCTGATGAAACTAGTGTGTTCTGGACCCCCTCACTTCATTATACAGCACAGGCTCACTGACTAGAATGGCAAAGACAATCATCCAACTATTTAAAAGGTGGTTTTTCTGTCTTTATTTAGCTAAGTATGAATAACATTGAAATTCCATCACCTCCACTGATGCAACTCTTTTGGGGTCTTATTGTAGAAGTTGTACTTGCGCTGCAAACTCATCAGCGTGTCATATTATTAGTCTTTTAAAATTTTGTCTTCCTGATGAGAAAATAATGGTTATCATTTACTTATTTATATTTCCTTGATTACAAGTCAGGTTGAGTAGTTAATGATTACTGACTATTGATAATTGCTCTTCTGTGAATTGCCTGTTAGACCTTATAAGAAGTTAAATTAATGATTACTGACTATTGATAATTGCTCTTTTGTGAATTGCCTGTTAGACTAAGAAGTTAAGTTTTTTTTTAATGTAAGTGGGTATAATTTTGTTCTATATTACATTTAGAGATATGAAAATAAATGCATTTCTGAAAAGCTCTTCGGGAAATGGTACTTGTAAGGTGTTATTTTATTTCATGTCTCGAGTATAAGGCAAAGTTGGAGTTCTTTTTGGGAAAGGTACAGCAATACATGCCTCTGGCTTGTGTGTGTGAATGGTTCATACCATCACCACATCAAGGGAAGTTAGGATTCATTATTTGTAGTAGAGTTTCATGGGCCTCACAAATAGTTTTGAAGTTGCTTCTCTACTTTCACAGCAAAGACGTTTAGAACATGAGAACTCCCATCAAATTTGAAAAAAAAAACCCAAACCATGTAGCCTGTTAGTATTGAAACCATGTTTTAATTGGTACTCACTGAGGATCTGGTAGAGATCCTCGACCCTTGGTGCATGGACCTACTTATTTTATGCTTATGCTCATCTTTTAGGGGAGACTGTTCATACCCTTCATCCAGTTCTTAGTGGAACTCAGACCGCAAAGGTTAAAGGTCACCGCTTTGGGATGAACACATTTCAGAACTCAGTGGACTATAATAAGTGAAGAGATAGCCCTTTCTGAGGACATCCCTTTTCTCTCAAATGATTTCTTCCAAGATCTATTTTCTCATTTCAAATGCAGAGAGACTTAGCGTT